GCATCGTCATCCTCGGCGTTCTAGAGCTCGTCATCTTCACTGCCATTCAATGATTTTGAAATGCAGCATTTCTTGAAAGATTTCACAATCTTTGGTGCTTCGATGCTTTTCCAGGCAGCAGAAACTCAGTGCAACAATGTGCGGTGCAGCACGCTTAATTTTACCTGTCGGGGTCAATTCACGGTCATCGGCGAACTTTGCACTCGAATCTAATGCGCACCCCAATTTTGAATACTACATTTGGCCAAAAACGATGCGCATTAGATTCGCGTAAATACGGTATATTTTTCTTCTCTCCCCCCCCCCAAAAAAAATTGCAGAACATAGGAGTGCGCGTTTACTTCTTTGCCTCAGGTGAAAATATAATGTAAGCACGGCTTTGCGTCCCCTAGTTGGAAGCACTGCTCCAACACAAGTCAGTGTATGCCGAAACAGGGAAACTATCATCACCTTTTCCTCAACGCTTATGGCGAAAGGTCATAGAGCTCATGTGCTCTTCGAAATCAACCAATCAATACATCGGGCTATCGCTAATATGTGCGATGTTGCCGGTTCAACGACAAGTCTGCCCAAGCGGCGCATGACGTAACAGTCGGACGGAGTAAGAGGAGGTCTGAGTGCTCTTCGAACTTTCACGGAGATCGTATGCGTACTTGTACTACAACTATCTGGTTTGTACACCATTCTTTGGGTAAATTAAATATTATTTTATTAAGCTTAAAAGAAGTTAAGTTAATTCAATTTACACAACCCTAAAATGTGTTCGACATTTTTGTGTTTCCTCAATTTCAGTGATGAGAATGAGTAGAAAACTAACCGTTCAACACAAAACAAGGTGTTTTGATTCATCATCAATGCACCTCGGTTTGTGAGAAACCGGAAGTTAATCAGAAACTAAATACTGACTGTGCGCAGGTCTTTATTCTGACAACGGCATATAAATTCTTCGAGAGATTGAAAGAATATGAATTCTGTCACTTTGTTCACCTCATTACCTATGATCCATCTTAGAAATGACTTTAAGAGAGTTAGGACAGTACACTACAACACTAAGTTGTAATGAGATCAACTGCAAACAATGTATATACACTGATGGGCAATAAAATCCTAGCACCAAGAAGGATTTGTGCTAGATAAACGAAATTTGGGAGGGTGTTTGCACATCTGAAAGATGATGCCTATTCCTATTTAGAGCTAGACGAATAAATGTGGCGAACAGTAGCGCCACCATGAACATGCATATCAGTTTGTTTTAAATATGCGATGTAAAATACATCGTGCGGTTTATTTACCTTCCATATTGGTCGTTGTAGTGAGATTTGAGTCAAGAATGCTTTAAGGAATAGAAGAAGGTAGTATCAGCAGCTTACTGAGTTTGAACGAAAACTTATAATATAACCACGAGAAAGCAGAATTCCTTTTAGCGATAGTACAGAAAGACTTGTATACACTGTGCATGAATGTTTACAGCAGTAGTTAACCAGAAGGTATTGTCTGAAGAAAGCCGGAAAGAAAGTTTAATATTAATTCTTAAAGTCTTAATTATTAATTATTAATTTAATTCTTAAAGTCAAGATTTAAAGATAGTCAAGATAAAAGTAAAACATTTTTTCATAGTGGTAGGGTATCAAACTATATTGTGAAATATTTTAACAAGCAAAAGGCTTAAAATGTGGAAAAATAAGAAAAGTTAATTTGCAATTAATTGTGATGAGAATACTTTCGAGAGATTGATGACTAAAAAAAAGTTTTACAAGAACTCAGAACGCATTCACATGGCACTGATAAATAAAATGCAATAAACTAAATTTATATTTTTCAAAATATGTAAAAGCTAAGAAATGACAAAACTGCTAGAAAAAAAAGCTGCCACAAATTAAAACAATTTAACTATAGATATATTTAAAGTCAAAACCTAAAGAAACGAAACTAAGTTACTTTTGTGGGGAAAGGAAGGCTATAGCCAAAAATTGGAAATATTTTCAAAGGCAACAATTAGAAAAAAGAATAAATTTAATTATGAATTGAATTAATTAAATAATAAATAGAACGGAAAAGGAAAAAGGAAATTTAAAAAAATTGTGATAAGGGGTTCCTTAGTTTCATTGTATGTATTCCATGTGAGTGGAACGAAGTAAGACTGACATTAGGTGTTAAATCGAGTTAAACAGTAGGATGGTAATTTTAAAAAAATGGAAAGTCAAAAGTGGATGTTAAGTTACCTACGAGGTAAGTCGCCTGCGAAAGTGAAAAAAAAATGGTAGATGGTGTAAAAGCAGTAAATTTAATTCTGAAACGAAATGCCTTAGCTCTGTGAAGAATAAAAAATAAAAACAAAAACAAAATAAAATTTTCAAATTTTTTAATAAATTTTTATTTTAAGCAAATTTTAAATAAATTTTATTAAAAAGGATTTTAATTAAATGAGAAAGCGGAATTAGACTTGAATTTAATAATTTAAAACTAAAAGTAATTTATAGAAAAGTAATAATAGAAAATTTGGGAAAAAGGGGAGTAAGAGGAATAGTCTTCAACAATTTGACGCATAATAGGACTAGAATAGAAATTACCGTTTTTAGAAGCAACGTTAAAGGGACTATTTCCATATTTACACAGATATTTACGATTGTTACGTATCCAGCAAATACCTCCAAATTTCGTTTAAGTTTTTTTTTTATCATAACTAATGAGAGAAATTGAAAGGACCTAATGCATAATTTATGGAGAATTAAATTAATAGAATTAAAAGAAATTTTATTATTAATAAGTGTAATTTTGAGACACTGAATTCCTTTCACAAGATCTTCAACATCAGTGCAAATATCTCTAATTCTCAGAAACTGATTAACAGTGGCTTTAAAGAGTCACTATTTTAGTAACATTAGAACTCCTGCGTATAAAGTTAACGTTAGGAAAGTTAAAACAGTCATTTTATTGTCAAAGGGTTTAATTATTTTACAATTGAGAATTTTAAGCTCAAGGCAATTTCCTTGTTACTAGTATTGGTTTTATAAAGTTTTAAACATTTAGGTTAAGTATTAGCAGTTTCAGTTAGCTCAGAATTATTAAAAGTGATAAGATCATATAAGACCTAAAAGCAAATTAAATTTTTCATTTTGTTTACAATTTTGCATGAACTTTGTAGAGACATTAGGTATTTTTTGGAAGCAGGTAAGATGAAAAATTAGCAAACGCCTGCGCCGGGAATCGAACCACGGACCTCTGGAATACCCAGTGTGCAGAACCACTACACCACGAAGGCAAGCTAAAAAGGTGGGAGAAATACCTTATATACTCCCCCTTTTAAAGGGCGACTGGGGTTTTTAGAACACCCAGTCGCCAAATCCTGGGTGTAGAGAGTCATCATCCATCACCCTTTTTAGTTCGGGCGCCACTGTAGTGAGATTAGGTATTTTTTGGGAGCAGGCAAGATGAAAAATTAGCAAACGCCTTACCACGGACCTCTGGAATACGGCCCAGCGTGCAGAACCACTACACCATAAAGGCACGCTAAGAAGATGGGAGAAATACCTTATCACTTCAGCTGCTGTCCAAAACGAAATAGACACCAAATGGAAGATGAACATTTCGTACTTTTCATATTTTCTGTTGTTTTTAAATAGTTTTTTAGCTCATAATTAGTAATTTACTTTGTAACTCATTTTAAAGAGTGTTCCTGAAATTACGATAAGTAATTTCAAGTGCCTTTAACGACTTTTTCTAGGTTTTAAATTCCTTTCTTATTAATATATATATATATATATATAATTCTTCCCATCCATAGTGTTGATTATTATTTAATTACTGAGTTCCAACAGCTTTTCAGCTGCAAAGTAACTTTGTAACAGTTCTGGTTTCTGATGACTTAATCTCATTTTTTCTAACACTCTGTGTATATTATTTTCATCTCAATGTAATTATTGCGTCATATAGTGAGCTTTTCGACCGAAAAAGCTTAGTAGTTTGTGGAGGACGTAGCTTAATATAGCGTGGCCTAAATTATCCCAAAATTTCTTCAATAAATTGTATAACATCTCAGACAGATAATATTAATTTCAGAATTTTAGTGATTTCAGAGTAATGATTTTTCAGTTATCTTTTGATTTATTTTCTGAATAATTTAAGACTTACTTTTAGATTTTTATTCATATTCGAGAGTAACTGTATATATCGAATTTTACAGCATATGACGTTCCTATGTCCTGTTTAGATTCGTTTTAATTACGTTTGAATGCTTTTAGTACTATGAATTTTCATTTTGAGCATTCTAAAAATAAACAATAAAAGAGACACTAAAGAGTAACGGCTTGCTTAGCATTAGGAAATCACATTTGTCATTTTTGTTATAAGATATTGCGAAATCTATCTATCCAAAACAAGCATTTTTTTTTCCCTGTGCTGAATCAGGAACAGTGCAAAAAATTTTGAAATATTAATAGTAGTAGGGTTATTCTTGTCATTAGTGATGGTCATTTAAATGCCACAATAAATATTCATATTGCTTCATACTTTTATGCAATTAATCCATATCCTAATGTAGTTATGCAATTATCACATTAATTATCTTCTTAATTACATCGCTAAACTTAGGTGCTACAGTAAGTATAATGAGCTTAAAAACTTCAGATATTAACACAATAAATACATGCATAAATGTATCCTAGTGTGTATTTCCTAGAAATTCAGTCTATATTTCTTATTAGGTAAAAAAAGTGCTACTACATTTATAAATTAAAATATAAAAATAGTTTAATAAACTATAACAAACGAAAGTACGGTTTTATTTTTGCTAACACTCCTTTTCTTGAATCCTGGACTAACATTTTTTTTTAAAAATTTCTTTATTTTTAGTTTATATTTATTCTTATTTATTTATTCTTATTCTTTTTTTCCTGTTCACATAATAAAACTCGGTTTTTCATTCAAATTGATAAGAATTAACATATTCTGTCTCGCATTCAACGTACGACGAATTTAAGAATATTTTGCATTTAAACTAGGCCATTCAGGTGATTCATGGACAGGATTCCGCGCAAATGGTCGCAGCCCATCTTGCAACAGATTGCCAAGAGTCACTCTTGAGCGCACTGGACATCGTCAACGACCTGCTGCCGAAACGAATCGTTTGTGTTTCCAGGATGAAGATGACGAAGATACACCTTATTGTCCGGTCTCATACTGCCGTCCGATTCCTCGAAGCGCCTGGATGAATTTCCGGGAACTGAGCACAAACATCCTTTCTACTACAAGAGATGACGGTGAAAGTAGTGATGAAGCATATTCAGAAGATTATGTTCATGTGGAAGAGCAAGACGAAATATCTCTGGATGGTAAGTTTTTTGGCTTATATTTTTGGTTGTTTTAATTATTGAAATTATTAATCCAAAGGGGCCTTTGTCCCTGAAGGACTATTGTTTTCGTTTTGCGATTTTGCGTTGAAAACTTTAAAAGGCTGTATCACTTTTCAAATCGTTGCCACCAAATACTATTGCCCTGTATATTTCATATTTTGTAAACCTTTAACGAATTTTTGATTAACAAACTCAACCGTTTAAAAGCGAGCAATGGCAATACTCTACGAGGGAAAAAACCTTTTTATCTCCAGCGCGCGGAACTGTGTATCGGAAATTCTAAAGAAATGCTCATTTTAAAATTATTTTGCGACATTGCTATTGAACTGAATTTTATGGTTTAAGTGCAAAGAACATGATATTTAATAAATAAAGGTAACACATAAAACGTTAAAAAAACGCCCCTTTGGACGTAATTTAAAATCTGAAACCTTTCAGATTTTTTCTTTTTGTGATCTAATTTTATGATTAACATTCTGGGTGTAAAGTAGCAGACCCCTTTCGTAGTGCACCCTCAGTAAGCTAAATCTGCTACACAAAGACTGCCGTTCCTCTTTTTCGCTTAATGACTAGAGAGTCAATAATCCTGCATTTGTTTCGGCTTATTGTTCTATTATTTGAATAATTAAAGAAACACGAACTTTTAAAAGTTTTTAAAGTTATTTCCTTACGAACGTTTCTCTGTGTAAGAAAAATGATAGCAATATTTTCCGCTCAAATACAAATTAAATAATGTGAGACTTGTATGAAAGGTTTAGCTGCGAGATGATGCTGTCGCGAACAAGCATATAAAGGTTTCGTAGAGGCAGAGAATAGGATAATGTTTCAGTGCTCTAAACAAGGAAAACACATAAGGAGTTATCAGGTTCTGTGTTCCTCCTTACTTGATTTGGGAACATTAAATGTCCTGACTCGGAACAGGGAGCTTACTAAAGCTATGTTCAATAAATTTGGGAAGTAGACAATACACACAGAAAGGGTATACGAAACCCTTTATTTTTCTCTCTTTACAATGATTTCCGGACTTCGGAATACAGAGACCAACCACTTGTGGTCTGAACGTAAGAATATAAAAATATTAACTAAACTCTAACTAACTTATAACTTTGGATTAATCAAACAAGTGCCTACTCCAAGATTGGCCGTATATGAGCAAAAAGCCGTATGTAGTGCAGAGAACTGCTAACAACTACGATACGTTTAAAATTATCAGAGGATATAAACCTCTGGCCTTGAAGGCAACCAGCAACCGCGTAAAACTACTATGGCAAGCGGCCTGCTTCTAATAGCTCCTTCCTCTCTCTTGCTTGACAAAAAGCCACAACTTAAGTACTTGGCGTTCGCAAGACAAATTTGCATAAATAAGTTAAAGCTTTTAATTCTGGCCGGAAGTAGAAAATAAGAAGTGATAGTAAAGATTTACAATAAAATAAACGTTAGTAAAACTTAAGATCCTTACAGAGTAAAGAAAAATCGTACCAACGCATTTCTGAATTCTTTTTCTAAGCAAAAACTTACATATGTGTATTAAAAAGTAAATTTTAGTTGCTGTATAGTTACTAATGCTTTTGACCTTTACGCAGATATTTGCAGTAAACTGCCCAGTGGAATAATGCATTACTTTTATCGCTTTTGGAGGGTATAAGCTAAAAAACGGATATAATATTTATTGAAATAATTTTTACACATATCTAGGAAGTAGAATGCTGAGGAAGCATAATTGGACTATTTAATTTGAGTTTAGTTAGCCTATTTCAATTACCATTTGAAGCTATGATACAATAGCGATTTAATCTGCTGCTACAAGAGGAATCAGTGGGGGGGGATGTTCAATTTTAGCAAGGAGATAAAGAACGTGTAAACTAAATTTAGGACGGGAAACTCTAATTTTTGTTTATACTATGTTATTAATCATTTTTATTTGTAATTTAGGAGTATCTAAGAGCCCACCCCCAGATACAGGAAGTCCTCAAGCGGACAGCGCTTGTGGAAGTGATAGAGACAACAGCAGCTGCAGTACAACGCCCCTATCAGAGACTCCAGCATCTACATCAGCACCGAGGAAATCCATCATTGAGTCAAAAGAGCTGCTTCAAGATAAAGTTCAACGACTGCGTATAGAACGTCATTTAGTTGATCAGAGGATGCAAGAAGCTCGAGCAGAAGAAATCATTCGTAGAGAAGAACAGCTCATATTACAGAGAGAGCTTGTCCAGTTCAGGAGACTGCTGCTACTTCAAACATTATCTGAGCTACGAAGTCAATTGGAGAGGAAAAGTAAACGAGTGCACAATAATTTTGAAAAGAATTTGGAAGAAATAGCATCTCTTTGTTCTGAAGAGGAAGATGAGCTTTGGCGTCAAGTTCATTCTGAACTTGTCGGGTAGCAACATTCAAATTGATGTCCTACTTATTCATGTTAGAACAAAATTTTCAAATTTTACTTTCAGTTAAATTATGTCTTCTTAAACATTTATAAAGAAAATCAGATTCTAAAGGCACTTTTCGGGGAAAAAAGTGCATATGTCTATTAAAAAATCCCTACTGAAAATTATAAATATTCCATAATGTAACTATGATAATTTCGCTGTTTATTGAAGTTCAAAACTTTAATTTAAATGTTAATAGTAAACTGAGCGATTAGACATTTTTATATTTTAACATCCCATTTGTTATTTAAAATTACGTGACTTGTCGAAGAAACACTGTGCTTAACTTAAAGCAAACTAAGAATGAATAGCTACAAATAAAGAATACATAATAATTTATAACTAAAAAATGAAAAGAATTAGGGTTTGACATTAAAATTTTGTAATATTTCCCATGTTTCTCGTTGCTATTATCTATAAAATATTTCTGGAAAATGTTCCACTATATGCTCATAATCAGAGTGTTAGTGTGTATAACATATAAACAAATGTTTTTCTGAAAATTAAGAGCCTTTTTTAAATGTTATTTATTAAATGAAAATTTTGAACTGATGACACTTAATGATCAAACTCTTTGTCCCCTGAGAACTTTATTTTATTTTAAACAGACCAGATTTTGCACATTTATCATTCATTTTCAATATTATAAGACAGCGTCTCAGGAAATGCATTAAACTATGCAACTTTAGATCTGCTTACCTGCTGTATAAATTTCTTAAACTAACATCGATCTATGCCTTTCTTCTGAAAAGTATTTTCTGGCAAAAAATCCAGATTTGCATTAATTTCTCTTATCTAACTTCTAATATAAGTTGATTAAATTAAATTAAAGCTTTTAACATCAAACGTAAGTATTAGTTTTAGAGCTGTTTTTTATACTAAAATAGTGGTAAATTAAAATCAATTTTATGCACCATTACTAATCGCGCAAATGGAAGGAGAAATAAATCCATAAACAAGAGAAACAATGCTTTACAGCATATAAGTAAAGAACACAAATAAATCAAATTTAAGGGGGAAACTATTCTGATTCTTTAAGAAAAACGTTCTCACAAACTTCAAATCAAATACTTTTTAATCACGTTTCGTCCGCAGCGTTTCTCATTATTCGTTCGTTAGAAAAACGTTCTCACAAACTTCAAATCAAATACTTTTTAATCACGTTTCGTCCGCAGCGTTTCTCATTATTCAGGTACTTCATCACTACTAAGTATATTCCTAAACAATTGAGCAACCATATATCAGTGTACTGATTCTTCCAAATCTCTTTTGCTAACAATAGAACAATAAAAATAAAATTAATAAGAGCTTTATATTATTATCAGGGCTTAAAATAAAACATTTATTTCTAATTTCGTTTATCTACATTTAAGGAATTGACATGCATGTATTTGATAATGTATCAAGATTTTCCTATTGCAGTTCTCAGGCAGTGTTTTCGCAACTAGCTAATAAATACCAGTGTTTTGACACTAAAGTCTTGTTTTCTGAACAAACTTAGCATTTCTGAACATGAGTTGGACATTTGGATAAATTTTAAATATCAGTTTAGGCAAAATTTTTACTCAATCTGCGGAAATGGCTTTAAAAGTTTATTATTCTTTTGGTTATGTGCACATACATCTAATATATCATTGTGTTTCTGTGGATGCACATGTAATAGTTAATGCTTAACTTATTCAGACTATAGTGTTTCCGGGACAAAACTCGTATTAAATGTCTATTTTAAATTAGCACATTGTTTATTAGTTTCTGGGCTTATGTAAATGTGTTGTCTATTGTTACAGAGCTTTTCTTAGTTATTTCGACTGTATTGTTACAAGGTTTACTAATTTTCGTAGTTCTTCCAGTGCTAAATCAGACTGATTTTCAATGAGAATACATATGAAGGATAACTACAAGCAATAAAAAAACTGTGAACTGATTAAAATTCTTTTAAAATCAAGCGAAAGTAAATTAAATTTTTTAAACCTGTTTTTTCACATTTGATGTTATTAAGAGGAAAATGCTAAATCTAAGAGTTAAATAAAGTGCTAAATCTAAAAATATAAATAAAGTGCTAAATCTGGTTTTTACCAATAATTTTTTTATGCTGCAAAAGCTATGTTTTCTACAGTGTTATTTATGTTGTTTTAAGTCATTATTAATAATCCTTACTCCAAAATCAGTAATTCAACACGCACAAGTTGGATCTTTCTACTAAAATAGGACCTTTTTTTCCCTTTTCCAACGTGCAAAGGTAAAGTAGCTTAATAACACCACTTTTTAATTGGCAATTATTTTTTTCTCGATAAAAAGAAATTTTTTAATAAGGCAATCTTCTAAATTTTATGGTTTCTGCCGACATGAATTAATTACATCTAACTTTCTTCCTGCGCGGTTTTTCGAAGCAATTTTTAAAGTCTCCAGCTTAAGAAAGTTTTTCAATTAATTGCCAGTGATGACTTAAAATTTTATAACCAGACGTCTATTCCTTTTATTAAGAAATTAAGATTAATAACTTCTTATATTTTTAATTATTTCTGCACTTTAATCACATCTTAGTAGCCTGTTGCATTATCAATTATGATTTGATCGTGATTCATACGTTGTTCGTACACATTTGTTTATGTTTTTTTTTCCCGGTTTTTTGAAGCTATGGGATTTATTTTGTATGTCATTATCCAAATAACGCACTTTTTTTCTTAAGAAAAAGCAGGTCTACCTCATAAAAATAGTGTAGGAAGCATAAGTTTAAAATTCTGTGCTTTTAAATAAAATTCATAAATTTCGATATGCGAATGATGCATTTTTGCAGGATGATGCAAAAAAACATACTTAAGTGCGAGCGCCGTTAATCGCTAACATCTTTTACAGGTATTTACTTTCAAAACGTAGATTCAAAAACAGATTTTTAAATCACAATATTTATTAAAACGCTGCAACCTAGGGTTAACGACCACATTGCGATAAAGTTTTTGAAAGCAAACAGCTAATCAAAGCAACTTTATGTTAAATAGTTTTTATGGTCATGTAATTTAAACTTGTGCATATAAATATAATGGGAAAAGGAATATAACAACAATATTTGAAAGATTGTAAGTAAGAAAATTTGCATTTTTTTCATACACCTAGAAAAATTAAATTCTTATGATATAATCAAGACTCAAAAGTACCTCTGTCTTGGAAGAAAGTTAAAATGTGGCGTATTAAGAGGAGTTAAGAAACTGAAACTGGACTTTTAAGTATTTTCTCGTTCAATTCAAAATTTATTCCAGAGAAAGAAGGAAAGAATTGATTTATTAAGATATCATTTTTACTTTATTTCAAAATATAGTCTTTTCTGTCCGAAAATTCACTCGTTGCTGGTTTTTACTTATTTAAGTCATCAAATAAATGATTCATTAAAAATTCAATTAAAAATCTTCTCTTCTTTCTATCTTGCACGGAGTTTTAAAGATTTGTCTTTAGCATTAAGATAAGTTTTAATTTTTAAATTCCTTTTTGATGTTTAATAAGAAACGGAAATATCTGTGAAATTATATAAAGCATTAAAAGCTTAAAATGTGTAAATGAATTAAATTGTCCGAACCACATTAAAAATCCAGACAAGGAGGAAAAAAATTCAAAATCCTTCTAACAGTTTATGTATTTATAATACCAGGCTTATTTTTGGTTATAAAAGCATCTGATTTGTAAGATTTTGGTTAAGACATAGAAAAATAGGACGATTTGGAAGCCCCACGCTATAGAATTCCAAGAAGATGAAACACATTTAGAAAAGTAACTACATTTCATTTTTAAAAATAGTTGCGTAACCTTTCCTTCCTAAAATATGCCGTACAATTTTAAGAAGTTGAATAGTATGCTGTGGAAAAGAAAAGAGTAATTGAATTCAGGGATATATCATTGTCTTGCGTATTTTGTACATATTTGTCGAACGAATAAAGTTTGAAATTTTCTTTTTTATTAAGGGTTTTGCTGTAACAGAAATTAATAATAAAGTACAAGCTCAAGGTAACATAGTAAATGACGTTTCTCTTTGATTGCCGATGGGAAGATCGGAGTTAGCTAAATAGCTAAGTAATTAAGACATTTTGAGATTCTGAAAACGTAACGTGATACGCTAAGTGACAAATTATCCGGATAATGATTTATAGAGGTTTAACTATTTTATCATGAGGTGGGATAAAGTAGCAAAAAAATTTAAATAAATACAATTTCTATGTAATATACAGACAAATGAGCGCATTAAACTGCACACACTTCAACGTCTTCAGGTAACTACTATAGAAATATTTAATTATTGACTATGTACTCATAATAGCTTCTGCATGCACAATAATGTGTACAATTTCACCATAACTGCTTTTAAATTTCATTGTATAAGTAAACTACCTACATGAAGTTACTCACTCTGCCGTGCATTAAAAATATATCCGCGAAGATGCAGACAAATTACTCATATCTGAAATAAAATTTTCTTCTTTGCAAATGAATTTTTTTTTATAAAACGAATTCACATATTAGCTTAGAAAATTATTCTAAATAAATTCATAGTAAATAAAAACAAAAATTATTTTCATTAAAATCAAAACGCAGTATCTTGATTTACAAGTTAACATTTGTTATGATAAAACATGCAGAATATTTCCCCAGCAAAACAAGATTTTGAAGAATGTTCAGTCTGTATGTATAATCTGAAACTTATTAATTTTAAAGTTGCAAAAATCTTTCTAAATCTTTCTTAATTTTTCTTAATCTTTTTCTTTCTTAATCTCTTAATCTTTCTTAGCTATAAGAATCTAACTCTGCATAATGCAACTTAACATCAGTTTACTGCAATTAGGAAAGAGAAATTAAAGTAATTTTTTTATATCTGTCCTTTTTAATTTTCTTCCCTTCTTACGCTAACAAAGTCCATCAGATTTGCATGCTCATCAGCTACTTTATTTAGCTTTAAGATATATGTGCAGTTAAACTTTTAGATGGATAAAGTAACATCATCTTATTTTCTCTTTGAAAATAACTATGAAGACTGAAGCAGAGTATAAACTGTGCAATATAAACAACGTAAAGAGAAAAAAAATATTTGCAATACTCTAAGGTGTTTATTTGTTACATCCGTGTTTCGGTTAAGCAAAATAATCAAAATTTTCAAACTGTAGTCGTACTCATCTAAACCGTTAAGCATCACCGTACTTAAAATTCATTTTCTAGATTAATAGCAAATAGAAACAAAATTATGTGACTGAAAATAGCATGCATTTCATTTACACATTCATCTAATGCACAGTGTTTGTTCTTCATGATATTTGCTTTTTTTTTCTTATCTTACCTACTTTTCCTAATCATCTTTTCTGAATTATGTTTTACCTAATGTACTGAGTTAATTACTTACAAAAGGCATTTGTCTTTTTTACAAAAAATATAATATAAAATGAGAATAACGAGCATAACATTCTGAATATATATTTCGATAATGCCAAGGTCTAGGTTTTAAATTTGTATTAGTCTCATGGCAGATGACTGCAGATATATGAAAAGCACATTTTTGTCTAAAATATAATGCATGAAAATGGTTTACATGACATGTTTATTCAAAGTATATTTTTATGTTACTTGCTAGAATATTTCCATTCTGATGATGCAGAACTACCGGGCTTCCTCACAAAATGCTGACCGTATAGCCTTTATAAACTATAACGTGGAGTCTAATATGATATGCAGAAAACTGATATAGATTCGTCTGAAGAAATGTTAAGGCACCACAGAAAAACTGATTTTTTTACCAGTCGTTCTCATAGAAAAACAGATAATAAAAAAGGGGAGAATCTCAGCTTTATTATGGATTTTTTAATGATGAATTGTAATCGTGAATAGCTTGAAATGATGTTAGTAATTAAATTCGTCGTATTAGTAGCATATCTTATGTTTAGGATAAATCTTTGTATATTTATTATAACTAAAATTTTTAGTAGAATTATTGTGCTAGTGAAACTGTTGGAAACTTTCAAATATAACAAGCGAGCTTAACCATGGTTGTCGTAAAAGCGAAGGAGACTCTAAAATTTCAAATATTTTAAGATTCTTTATAAGCAAATATGCTGTGTAATAAAGGAAAACTTCAAATACTATTTAATTTCAATTACTTTCACATGAAAACTAAAATCTGTAAAACTATTATCATGAAAGCATGCTTGAAGTTCTAACTTCTTAGTCAGCAATTACATCCACTGTTTTCAGTGTTATGTGTAAATCTTTTACGCAAGGCTTTTGGGTAATTAGTACATGAAAACCACATTTGATACTCCGTAATACAAAAAGCTTTAAAAATATAGCATTTATGCATTCCCTCCATCTTCTTTATTATCTTGCAAAGTTAAGCGATATTCAGTTCTTACGTTAACTTGGTGAAAAGATGATTGAAAAACCTTTAAATGATACTTGGGTACCCCGTACTTTGAATATTTGTCATTCTAACATCAGCAGCTATCTTTTACCATATATCTTATATGATAAATTACTATACTCGAAATTAAGTTTCCTTCGCTGTAACGTGCCAGAAAGGAGTTGCTCACGAACTGAAAATTTTCAGAAACCTTTAGCTATTTGTTGGTAAATAAATATTAATTTATCCCGTATTTTTCACTTGAGGTTCTTAGAATCATAGCTTTCTATCATGTATGTAGAAGTATGAGACTATAAAAATGTAAGTATAATGTAGAAGAATATGATATATTGTCATTTGTTATTTGTTCTTATTGCTAGTTTAGATACGTGCAGTATTTGGTCTAGTTCCGTATTTAGCCTTTTTAAAAGACAGAACATTCTTTGTACTGCCTTTTACTCGTTTGGGATAGAAATCGTGTATTTATATGTTACTCATGGTGATTAGTAGCAGAAAGATAAGAGAATGCAAGGGGAAACAACAGCCATACTTTTTTATAACTTCGGAAAGTGAAGAATCTAGCAGGTTTAAAAAATAATTGCAAGTAATAGAGCTGTTTATTAAATATATTAAGTTCGCAGTTTCCTGGATATTTTTTCCTCGTGCCTTTACTGGCTAAAGCTAGAAAAGACATTTTTGTATTACGAATTTCAATAATTGAAAGTTCAAATTCAAGGACGCTGAGGCAATTCGATCGCATTCGTTCAAAAAATGCTTTAGAAATATTATAAAGTTTATTTATCAGTAATGATATCAGTACTTTCAGTTATTTTACCGATTTTCACAACTGTAGGCACTAATTTCCTTTTTTACATTTAAGCAATAATTTAAATCTCTGACTGCATTTACACAACCGTAATCTGCTAGCGAGTTCTATGCTAATCCCCTTCAGCAAAGCAATTGGTACTATTATTTTACTTAAAATGAAATATGAATATCTAATTTTTGGAAACAATACATTAGCAAAAGACTCGCTTTTTCAAGAAGTTTCGAGAGCACGGAGTGCAAAGTAAAACCGAAGTCTTAAGTTCAGGCTGCGTAAGACAGTGAATTGGTTCAAATTTGCTCTCATTATGGAAACATCCCAATTTAATACAATTTTCTACCTGTTTCCTCTGCGCTATTTTTCTGTTGCAAATTCTCGTCTTTCCCAAAATATTACAAAATAACATATTTGTGTTTCTGTTTAATGTGATTTACAACGTTTAACTGTTGATCGTTTCGGGCAACCCGAACAAGGTGACTTCTTTATGCATTCCATATTGTTGCTGATGTGTTTTATGTCGAATTCTGTGATTTTGAAAATGTTATGATGTTTTGTGCAAATTGTTACAATGCTTCGTGCAGATTGTAAAATAGCTTTGGTCTTTCATGTGCTAGATATTATTGTTTCAGTCTTCTACGTAAAGAAAAACGTTAAACTTTTGTTCGTGTAATAAACGTAGCAAATTAAAAAAAAATTGTTAACCATTTGGTAAGAATTCATTCATTAAAGTTACACGTTGGAAAAAAATTGAAAGATGGCTCAAATGCATCATGTTATGTAAGGGATAGTGCATTATTATTGATAAGCTCAAAGCGTAAAATTTTATGAATTATTCTTCCCTTTGTCTACTTTGCAGGTTCGTTTCAAGCCACTTAGCTCTGAATACGTCTCTTCCTTCAAGGGAAATGAACTCTTTTTAATATTGCATGATATCATGCAGCTGACATTTTTTTATTATCTTATTCATATTTTTCACAAAGTTAAGAAACATTTTTGAAATGCGAGTACAAAGTAAAACAGATAGCAGTTATTAAGCACTGCTGACTTTAAAACAAATATTTTTATGCTATTTTTTAAATGTTAACTGTATGTGCATTGCAATGTTATATAATAAAGAATTTTCAAATTCTCTAACTTTTTATCAATTGAGTTTCATCATAAATATAACATGTAGATAATTCATCTGTGTTTAAGCTCATTATTCACCAATTAATGTTTAAAATGTTACTTCACTCAAATGATTTGTATTCTTTCTTGTGTTTCAGATATCATAAAACTACTGTTAAGCTTTCCTTAGTTCGTTTTCATTCAAACTTACGACGTGTTTTAATGTTTAATGAAGAGTTTTGTATGACTCATTTATGAATCGAATATTATTAATAAACAGTTTTGAAAGCCCACTCTGAGGGTATTAATTTAGTTTCCTTTCTTGTAGTGAATTTAAATTTTCAATACAAGCATATTCACTAAACACAATTCTTATATACATACTGCATTGATAAAACTTCCAATATGAGCAGAGCAAGGGAAAACATCTCAAATGAATTGTAAGGGAGTGAAAAAAAATTATTAAAACCTTAAAAATATTTTAGAAATAAAAATTCAACTTATCACACAAAATGCATCCCGTTATTAATCTGGACTCCAAAATGTAACTGTATTGCGTGCATTCAAATGGAGAAAGAAATATTCCCATTTACTTTCAAAATGAATGTTTAAAAAGACCTTCATTAAGAAAAGTTTCATGCACAATGAATTATTTTTATGTTTGGCTGAATATTACTTCAGCATCCAGTTTTTAAACTGCTAAATGTTTTAATATTTTAATGATTCTGAAACGAGACGCCTTTTTTTTTTTATTATACTCATTTCAGTGAAAGTGTTGTCAAGATCGAAATTCATTTACTAAACAAATTACTGTACAGAAACATGTCGATGTGTAACGCGGAATTACTGGAAGTCAACTGGTATCAAATCTAGAAAACGAGAAAACCACAGCATGTGGCTATTAATAAATAAATTCATTGATAATTAAGTACAACGAATCTGTCAATCAGAAATTTATTTACCATAGATGTTGTTCCGCCCAAAAAAAAAAAAATCACGAAATAGAACATGGCTTAGAGAAAAACGCAAGCAGCAAACATCGTCATAAAAAACATCTTGCTAAGAAAGCAGGGATCTCACAAGCAGCCGAACGGTAAAATCGCTAAACTCTAAACCGACTCGGGTTCAAAGCTCGGCAAGGTAACTAGCTGCATGGGCATTTTCGAGGTTTTTCCCATGCATGATGTGGATAGAGCCAGCTTCCCTTAGAAAATGCTCCACGAAGGCATCCCTACCCTTAGGCAGATACCGTTCAAAGGCATTGAGATAACAAACATGTTATAAAATAAAGCATTGACGATTTTCGTAGTTTCAAAAACACCTTAGTAAAAAATCAAGCAACTACAAAACATCGCAATGTAAGGATTATGTTAATTTTATTAACAGTTAAAATTTTAAGTTCCTTTCCTGTCAAATTCTTAACTTCAACTTACTACTTCCGGCCAGAATGTAGTTTTAGAATCACGTCTGAATACATAATGAGGAAGAGCGGTATTTAACCGCGAAGTTCTTTGGTCTTAGCGAGAGAGAATCAGAGTTTCTGATTTACGCGCGTCTGCGTTTTGGCCACTCTCTCTCTCAAAGCTGTTATTACGCTCGGCCGTAGTCAGGCCCTTGCTAAGCAAATCAGTTAAGGGGCCGACTCGATTTGAATCTTGATAGCTTCGGCTATATTTCTTTAGTTAATCTTAGTTTTAGTTGAATTTCTTAGTCTCTTAAGTTCAAGCCCAAGTGTCGGCTTTGTTTGTACACTCCTAGGCGGAGTTTTGTTAAATCTTATTGGAATAATAAAGGGTTAGTTACCCTCCTATCTTGTTGTTTCTTGTCACCCGAACTTAAGCGACTATTTGCTTATCAGTTCTTAAGATTCTTCACTTCCAACATTAACTTAGAATTACAAAGTAAGGAACTCTACAGCATAATTATGCATTTTAGACATTATAGAAGCTTAGAATTTTTTAAAACGTATTTCTGTAAGTGAATTTTTATCTTGAGCATTTATTGGTATAGAAAAGTTGAAATATGGTACTTTTGTTCTTTCCTTTCCATCTGGATTCTAGATATTTTTTAACATGCAGATCGAAATTGCTCGTCAGTATCATTCGCTTGTATCTACACCTATTAATTTACATTACACATAAGTAATTTTTATACAAGATTTACATTTCTAAGTAGTTTTAAAGAAGATATATAAGTAGTCCCAGAAGAAATTGCTGTTTTCTTAAGAATTCAAAAATTATTATTTATGGTTCGAATGTTCGAAGGCTTCTTAAGCATATTTTCAAAATTATTTAAAAGTTTGTAATTATTTTGTTTTTAGGTTAAGAGCTCAAAAGCTGTGAATAAACTTTAAAAGAAATTTGTTTAATATCGCTTGAGTTATCGAATGACGGATTACCTATTAATAATGTCCTTCAGTTTATAAATATTTGTATCACCTGACAATACAAAAATTGTGTATTTCATTGGTAAATTTATATCAAACTTTACTTCTCTTTTAAAGAATATATCTGACATTAAAAGCTTTACAATGTTCACATCAAAATAAATTTTAAAAACTGCAGGGGGCCTATTTCACCGTATTTTAACATTTATCAACAAACAGAATTTATTTATGATTTACTCATATAAGTGGTTAAATGATAATGGCAAAGGCTGTGAAGTCTATCTTGCCTTAGGAAGGATTTCTTCGTGGAGAACATTCTAAGGCAAATGGCTCGTTTTTACGTTACACATAAGGAAAAAACAGAAAGCTAAAATTTACCCATAATGAAAGACATGTATATTATTTTATTTTGCTTTCCATAAGAAATTGAAAATTGTTTATGACAGAATTATCTTCAGAGGTGAATTCGTGTAAAAGTTTCAAACTAAAGAAGGTACTACCTTCTTTTTTTTCTTTGTTTTTGTTTATTTGTTTTGTTTCTGCACTGAGAAACTATAAATTACAGTTGTAGAGCTATTAAACATGTACTTGTAAGAAACATGAGACAATAAGCTACGCCTTCGAATGGAATTGAATTCCGGATCTTCCAACTGCTAGCAGTACATGTTACCAGTTATATCACGAGAGCACTCAGAGGGGAACACGAAAATTCTTCATATTCTCTCCCGCTTAAAAACGACTGGACCGAGAACCATTCAGCCTAAACGCAGATGCAAACGATTTATGTCCACCACATTTTAGTCACGGTCAACATTTTGTCACAATTTTGAATGTTAACTGCTAGAATCGTGAAGACGGTCAAAGAACTGGTCGTCTCGTCATAACTTATGGAATACAGTAAAACAAACTCAGGTGACATTTATAAACTAAACCTTTTTATTTACTTATCAGCTTTACACTTTACTACTCGTTAACTGTTATACAAGCTAAGCAATAACAGAGAATCAAATCTCCACAGCTTGCAGGAAATTCAAAACAAATGCTTAAGTAAGCTTCATATATTAAATAATAAGTACAAAGTAAAGCGTGTTTACTAAGCACTGGCCCATCTCTGAATATTTCACAAAGCTATTATGTATAGCAAAGTTAAAGCTGATTTTAGTAATTCACTAGCAAGGAGTATTAATAGAGTGACAGTAAGCGACATGCCAAAGGCTCTTTCTCAAACTCAAGAGCTGTGCGTTTAAGTATATTAACTAGTTTTGTCTGGTCGGAGCCGACGAAAATAGTAATAAAAACAGAAAAGTAGAAGATGATAAAATAATGAGATGACTGGTTAATTAACATAAAACACTACAAACCTTTTAGATTTTTTAGGAGCCAAGAAACGTGAAAATTCAATTATGTCCTGTCCTGGATTCGAACTCCATCTTCCGATTACTAACCAGACGTGTTACCAGTTTGTTAAACCGCGACAGCCCGCAATGTGTAATGCGGGAATTCCTTATACAGCGGTGCCTCCAGTAAAGAACGCTAATGATTCTGCGTTGGCATTCGTATTGTAAGATGTTGTTTATAATAAGTTATCGTGGTATTAATTTTAATCCATTCTCAAGCCAGCATCAAAATCGCGGAACATCGTACAAATTTTTTTTAAAAAATTTTAATCTGTAGCAAATTTAAAAATGCTAAGAACTTATTAAATTATTAGCTATAAATGTATTTACATTTACTCTGTATGCACAGAGTCTTTTATTTCAGTGCAGTATGAATCTTCCAAGTCTTTTTAGTACAGGTGGAACACTCAGTTGTCCTTAACCTTCTTGTACATCTGCTTTTCCTTTTTTGGGAGGTTCAGGTACTAAAATGTTCTCTAAAGAAATCTGCTCTTTTTTACAGGCTGGTCCTGAACTGCGTGACTTCAGCCATCGTTTTCCATCTCAGCTTATTGAGATGCCAATGATTGGCAGTAACTCGAACATTTTCTCACTTATAATTAAAACAATTTTCGCCTCATAAAGTTTCTGTGTGGAATTATGTGTCTTTTGTGTCTAATTTACACTTTTTCAGGTCTCTGATATTTGCTTAAGATACAGACCCTCTGTATTCTCCTCACCAACAGATGAAGAAAAATTTCCTCTAAGCTTTTAAGATACCTGGTACGAGAGCGCACAATTCTTCAGGGGTAAGGATTAAAGAAATACACTGCCCTCCAAAAGTTAAGGAACAGCATGTTTTACAAAGCTCGCCATTACAAAAATGTCAGCAACGTTTAAATTCACAGTTCATATACATAACTGTAACGAAGTTTAAGAAAACATGCGCAAAAATAATAGCTACCACTTTTATTTTATAGAAATGAATATTTATATAAGAGTTGGAGAAAAAAATGCAAAAATTGTAATTTGTGTTCACGAGTATTGATCTTCAGTTGTTATTACAGTTTCATGGAAAATATCCAAGAGAGTCTATCAATATCCAGAAGTTTTTGCCCGATTCGTTGAGATGGCGAGCGATCGGATGGATGGGGATGTCACAAGCTGATGCTGCTGGGCGTCTCAGTGTCTCTGGTAGTGTGGTCCACCGACTATGGAATCAGATTGAATCCGGTGTCTAGAAGACATGTTCCAGACAGACCAAGAGTTACAACACCTGCGAGAGACCATTATTTAGCTCTTTCGGCCCGAAGAAGGAGTAACATTACTGTGCCTCAGCTCATGGAAGATTATTTAGTGGAAATAGGAACAAGAATCTCAGCTATTACAGTGCGCAGACGCCTGAACAATGCAGGTCGTATGCAAGCCGACCACTTGTTTGTGTTCCCTTGACCCGAGGACACAGATGTGCCAGTTTATGTTGTGCAAGAGAATACGTCTTCTGGACCAGTCAACAATGGGCGTCTGTTCTCTTCATAGACAAGTC